AACCCCCGCCCACCCCAACACAAAACCTGATAAAGCCTCCCCAAGCACCCCGCCCCCAAGCCACACATCACGCCAGGCCCCACGCCTCAAGATCTCCACCGGCGTCCCATCCGCATCGCCGCGAACAACGCCGCTCTTCCCATCCAACCCGCGTATCTCGCCCTGCGCACCCGCAAAATACCACCCGGCGCCCCGTCCCCCAGACCGGTACAGCAGCAGCGCGTGGAACAGCCCGGACACGAGCACCGTGCCCAGCGCGTAGAAGGCGAAGCCTGTTATGGATTGGAGCGAGAGGATCCCGGCTGTTAGGCCTAGGAGGAAGGAGGTTAGGGAGTGGAGGGTTGTTAGGGTCTATTCTCGGTGTTCATTAGTTATTAAGCTGTTATGGGTGGGGGTGGGGTTGGGCTTGTTTGGTTCGGGTTGGTTTGGTTGGAGGAGAAGAGGAGGTACAGTACATACCCTGTTGTTGTGTTGGAGGGACTCTGGGACCAGTGGGTTGATCAGAAGACTGAGTTCTTGTTTGGTGGGTGGCATTTTGGCTTGCGCGATCCCTATGCTGGATCTGCTTGGAGAGTGATGCGTGAGTTGGGCGGAGATGGTGCGGTGCTTGCGGTTGATGGTTGATATGAGGTCGAGGATGGTATTCTGCCGGATTGTTCCGCTTAGATATGCCTGCATCGCTTAGGTCATCGACCATACTTAATTACAAGATCGCAGTGGAATGTTCATGCCCTGTACAGTACTTTCCCATCAATTCAATCCGGGGGATCTCGTCACTTAAATACACATATCTACAAGACCAACAAAATCAACCCTCCCGATTATAACATTAACATCCTATCCGTCATAACTTCGACACCCTTGAGACACAGCCCCAAGCATGTCTACATCAACATGAAAATACAACAAAGAAAAATTCCAACAGGGCCCCCAATCAGCTCTCGATTTCCATTACTAGACAACTTCCTCCCCAAGATTCATGCCGATATGAGATCGCTCGTAGGTTCATTCGGATCCTGCCACTTATGCCCAAAGCCAATCTAGTTCAATTAATGCAATAGAGAGAATGTAAGCAGAAAACGTCGTTCCAAGTCAAGATTGAATGGATGGATAGATGCCATCCCCGTTCGTTCACGCAACGTTGTCGAGCTTGCCGTCGGCTTTGGCTTCGCGGACTTGCTCGAACACCTGTTTCGATGATTAGCCACTCGGTTTGCAGACATTTGAATTAGGACAAAGAAACTCACCTTCAGCATCTTATTGCGGGCGCCCAGTGCATTCACGCCACGCTCCTCCAGAGCCTTGTCGTTCAGCTCGACCAATTCCGTCCACTTAAGGTCCTTCAGGTTATCGGTGTACTTGTGCAACCGTAGCGATCTTAGCCAGCTGGGAATATCCTTCAGCAGGGCAGGGTCCGTAGGGTCCTCTGGCGGCTTCGAGCTGCCCCGGCGTCCGCGCGGAGACCTGCCACGAGCCACCTCCGAATGGTCCGAGAGATAGCCCTCGTGCCCCGCCAGTCCGAACTGACTCATGCCCAGCGCACCCAGCCCATTACCCATGAGCGGGTTATTGGGATCATACGCAGCCAGAAAACCGTTATTCTGCGGGGAAGTGAAGTTCATGTGTCCCAAGCCACCGCCCTGCATGGCAATTCCGGGCGATGTTGGACGAGAACGATGACCAGCCATAGCAGCCTGCTGTTGCGCCTGCAAAGCGGCCAGCTGCTGAGCGTTCAACAACTGGCTGGCCATGAGCTGGTTCGGAGTGGGCAGTCCCGGGCTGGCCAGAGGCGGAGCACCCAGGTGGCTGATCGAGTTCTTACCCTGGCCATCGTTCGAGCGGGCCCGGCGATACTTGCGAGCATCATCCAGCGCAATCCGATTGTTCACTGTCGACAAAGCGGCCAATTTCATCGCTGTCGCGTTAGCCACCATGTCGGCCTGCGAGTTCTGCGGGGGGTGCTGCGCTTGCTGCCCGAAGGTAGCTGTCATTGGGGTGTTGGTCATGGAAGCCCAGCTGGCATTTCCAACATTGTAAGGCGAGAGCAAAGGAGCATCAATCTCCGGAGCGGGAATCGTAGCCGTTTGGGTAGGCAGGGGTGAGCGGAGGCTGGAGGGATTTTGGCTGAACTGACCCATCGGCTGCTGACCCGAGGAGGACTTGGGTCGAGCAATGGGGGGTTGAGGTTCCGATCCGCGCTGCACCCAGGGGGAGACTGGGGGCTGGCCCAGGTTGTCGGTGTTGTTGTCCGGGGCCGAAATGGTCGGGGCAACGAAAGACGTACGGTCTCCGAAGACAGCGCTGTTTCGGTTGGAGGGAGGCGCGTTGCCCGTCTGCTGAGTGAACTCAGCCTTCTTTTTGGCAATCGCCGCCGCCGCGTCAGGGAACATGGCGTTGATGGTCGACGAATCGAGTCCGGAGTTGCGCTTGGCGCCCGGGGAGGGAGGCGGACGACCCAGCGAGTTTCGAGAGCTATCCACATTCAACTTGGACATAGCATCGTTGAGTCGGTTAGACATCGCATCTGTCAAGGCATCCTCTGTTAGTGGTTGGGACCGAGTATTGTTGAAGCAGACTTACCCTTTTCTCCGAAGTTGGCGGGAGACAGCAAGCCCGACATAGGGTGGCTCTTAGCCATCTGCTGCAGAACCTGGATGAAGAAGCGAATCTGCACCTGGGTAGTTTGCTGCAACAGCGCATAGAGCGCAGCAGTCCTTTCCGCCTCACTGAGCACGCGGAACCATTGTTCGATGGCACTGAGCTCATCCTTGAAATCCTGGTCCAAGGTGGCCGCGGCCATTTCCTCCAACGTGGTCTCGTACTGGTCAATATCCGCAAGCCATTGCTGAGCCGCACGGTCCAAGGGATCCTCCGTGTTATTCGAGTTTTGCGACTGCTGGTTGAAAAACACCTCGGACGAAGGCCGGATGCTGCGGGAGGACAGCGGGGACGGGAAGCCCGACATATCGGCCGACGCTCGTAGCTGATGCGAACCTAGGTTTCGAGAAGAGGAAGGCGGACGAAGGCTAGACTTGGAAGCTTCCGGAGTGCTGTTGCGGTTGCCGATGATATGGCTGGCCATGAAGTGAGCAATGAGAGTGGCGTTTTCTGGAATATAAGGAGAGCCGAGGAAGAGATGCTGAGATCTCCCTGCTTTGTTGGCGAGGTTCCGGTGGGGAATAGATACAGAAAATATAATATTACTGCAAAACACCTGCAGCACCTGCTGAGTTTGCGTTTTAAAAACCGACGGGAGTTTCGAACTTTTGGCCGAGTCCTTTGTTGGTGGCAGCAGCCAATACCAGCCCGTGACCGTTTGTGGGAACAGTCGACAAGAAAGGTGCGAAACGACAGATCTCACTAAGGATGGAGACCCTTGGTGGGAAAGCGTGATAAGCCCAACGGCGTGATGGGTGTTCTGGACAGAGAGACGACTGGGGATGCACAGACCAGTCCAGTGGCTGCACTACCCGATTCAAATTTTCGAGGGGGAAGAATCAATCGAATCGTAGGAGCATCAACAACAACAACAACAAGGGAGTCGGAGTGTGGATACCAGGGGAGGGATGGAGGGTTGAGGGAGGGGAGGGGAGAAATTGAGCGGAAGATGGGAAGAGAGTAAGAGAGAGAGAGAGAGAGAGAGAGAGAGAGAGAGAGAGAGAGAGTGAGAGTGAGAGAGAGAGAAACAAGGCCGGAGGAGTTGTCGGTTGGACAAAGCGGCGAGAGTTTCCGGATGTTGATTAGTTTTTCA